TATTTGTCACACTCTGTGCATTTACGCACATGCCCTTCATGACTAACTTAATCTGCTCTGCATTTCTCCCCCATCTAATGCCTCCTTTTTCTGAATTATTTCTGATTACAATGCTATTTGTCTCTCCCAGCCCTCTCTGTAACTTGTTTGTCCTCTCTAATGCTACATCTTGATTCCCTTCCCCTCTCGAAATTAGTTTAAACCCTCCCCACAGCACGAGTTAACCTCCCTGCGAGGACATTGGTCTGAGCCCTGTTCAGGTGTAACCCATGAACCTTGTACAGGTGCAACCTGCCCCAGAACTGGTCTCAATGACCCAGAAGCCTGCACCATTTCTCCAGCTATGTATTCATGTGTTTGATCCTGCCATTTTGACACTCACTTGCACAAGGGACTGGGAGTAACTCAGAGATAACCACCTTTGAGTCCTACTCTTTAGCTTATTCCGTAGCTTCTAACACTCTCCCTGTAGGATCTCAGCCCTTTTTTCTCCTACAACAACAACAACAAAATAACATTTATAGAGCGCCTTTCATGTTGGGAGGACTTCCCAAAGCGCTGAACAGTCAGGTGTCGGGGCCCGAGCATGGAGGACTCATCCTGACACCATGACTGGGGCTCCTGGACAAGACTGTTGCTGGCCAGCCTTGCTCCGCTATTTCAGGAACAGGAGATGTGACCATAAGGCAGAGTCAGTGAGAGGAAAATGTGCGAGCTCTTATAGGCGTGAAGATACTCTCAAAATAAATCTCATAGATGAATGTATTGTTTCTATAAGGATTGTATTGTATGTTTTCAACACCCTCCACTGTTCCCCACTATCTCAAAGAAACTACTTGTCATTGCACAAATAGAGAAAGAACAACTTGTACTTATGAACAGCTTTTCTTGTAGAAGAATGCTTGAAAGTGCTTTACAGAGATAGAGTGAGAGTCAAAACATTGGTAGTTAAGGGGGTGGTTGGAGATAGTCACAGACAAGCTAATATGTTTAGCGAATGCCAGAAATGCTAGCAAGGAAAATGTTACAGAGCTGATTGATATTTCTTTGTTGTTTAAATCAATGATTGGAAACTGATGTTTCAAATGCTAAACCAGACTGTATAGGACTAACATTGTTTTTTTTTCCATTGAGGAGAACGTAGGGTTAACAATATTTTCTTAGCAGGTATATAACAGTTAAAGAATGTAATCTGTGCAATAATCATGCTGAAAATTCCTTGTAGTTTCTGAAAATTTTGTTTCCTTTTACATAGGATAATTTATATTGCAAGGTGAACTTTGGTTATCTTCAAATTATAATTTGTTGAGAATAATGGTTATCTTGGAATAAAGAAAGGCATTAATGTGATCCCGGTATTATTATAAACTGCAAGATCAAAGCTTTGCTTGTTCTGCTCATTACCTGAACTATAATATTGGATTACTTAAAATCTGAAATTGTTTTACATTATGATACATTTAAAAATATATACCATTAATTTGAAATGATTATTTAATACAGACTTTGCACCTACATTTGGTATACAGTGATACTGATGACCAGTGCTCTGAATGATACATGATGTTCACACTGAGGATTAATATCTATGACATCTTGGTTGCAACTACATTGAGAAAATACTTTGGAGTTCATTGCCCGGAAATTCTGCAGCCAGAATAGAATAGCAGATGGCTAAGGAATCACTGCGCTGTTGGGTGTGGTGGAAATGGGGATTGACGTGTTAAGTATGTCAATAACTGCTGGGGCTCGAGTGTAAATCTCTGAAGTGCAAAATAGGAAATAATTCACCAGTACACGACCACCAATCTCAAAGAAAAGACCCTCTTCTCAGTGAAAACATACATGATACTTCACATTGTAAAACTGGTCCTGCTGATTTTATAAGTCGTTCTTTCCTGCAAAAGAAATAATTGTTAAATAAAATTTCTCAATGTGTTTCTGATTTTTTAAAAAAAACATATTTTCAATATGCTGTACAGTGATATCATTGCAAATTAGCTTTATTACCTGGAGATGTGCTCTTTTGCAGCATTGCCATTAAAAATAATTCAGTGCCACCAGTTATTACTTGATGGATGCATGACCTAATTAATGAGAAGAGGATAAATGTCAGTGGGTGCTGGATGAGATTAAATCTAGTAACCAAATACAATGATTTGTGAAGCAAGCCCAATTTATTATAGTTGATCTTTTGTTTTCTAGTATCGATAGATTTATTATCTAATCTCACAAATGCTTTCAAAAGGCTGAAATTTGCCAACATCTGGTGAGTACATGAAGCCAGCAGACTCATTAAAACAAATCTCTGACACAAGCAGAGCAGATCATGCCATGACTTAGCAGAAATTGTGAAAATTATTTACAGTGAGGTACATAATTTCAGCCAACATATTTTACAGTATAATTTAACAATATGCCAAGATATTACTCTTGGACTAATCCTAGATTGCATTTCCTCTTCCATCAATGCTGACCATAAGCAATTGGCGTCCAAGGGACTGAAGTGTAACATTGCTGCCAAGTTTGCGGAAGTACCAATCCATTTAGAAAGTGAGACTGGAGATAGGGCCAACTCAAGGTAGACCATATAATTCTAATATATTACATCCAAATAGCCCAAAGCTCGGTCATTTACATATTTTAATCTTTAATTTTAATTTTAAGAGGAAAATGACCTGCATAGATAATTGACAGATTTATTATTGGCATGATTGCCCATTCCACCCCAAGAATTTAACCCCTTACTCGTTGTCAGTGGGTGTATAATCAGATTCCCTCACCAGGCATTAAAGCTGTAAAACTGGTTTCTGAAAAAACATCTTTCTTGCTATTACCAGCAATCAGCTGCCAGTGAAAAAAGCTGTGTAGGGGGATAAATGTGAGGAATAGTTTCCAATAAATCATGTCTTGTGGCAGCATTAATGTTGATGAAGTGCGTATGTTACACCATCAAACTTCATTCTGCTCAGCAGTGTGATACAGTTAAGCACCTCCAGTTGTGTATGTCAATTACCATTTTGACATGCAGTACTTGGGAACTATTTTTTGTAACTAAACAAAATGTTGCCACTGACAAGCATTTGTTTGAAGAAGCTGGACACCAGCATAAATTGTTTTGAGTAAATTATGGGACAGATTGGTGTTGATATTTTTAACATGCATTATTTGGTAAGTGTTTTTTATTGCTAAGTTCATCTAATAGAGGAATTTAACATACTGTTGGAGATAGGATGTCAAAGTAAAGCACAGCAATGGAATTAATTGCTGTGTGCAACCAGCCTTTTCAGTTCTAGTAAATAACAAAAAGGGTCTTTGTTCTGTACTAATCCAATACAGCATTCCATTAATTCAGCTCCCACTATCCTCATTTCTGAATTGTAAAATTGGAATACTTGATAGCTGAGGTTTGTTACTAGTTGTGTCATTGTAAATATTTTTGTAACTCAAGAATAATATGTTTAAAAACAAAATTGCACATTTATTTGTTACTCGTCTATCATTTCTTTCTCAACGGAGAAGGTCTTTTACTCTTGCTTTCTTAATTTTCTCCTCAACCCAAACATGTTGGAATTGTATCAGATATTGGTACATCCCATTTGGAATAACTTGTTCACTTTTAGTTTGTTCACTCTTAGATTTATAGAGGGTACAATAGAAATTCACGAGGTTGATGCCAATTGACATATGAAACGAGGATGACTAATTTGAGGATTGTTTTCAAGGGAACAGGGGAGATTAAGAGAGGATATGAAAGAGGTGTTTAAAAACTAATGGGGTTGAACAAAATAGAGAAAAACAACATCCTTCAGTTGGAGAAATTGTGATGAGGGAACAGTCTCAGGATTGTTAGTATAAATATTGGGGGACAAGTTAAAAGGAACTTCTTCCCCCAGAAGGTCTTTAGGGTAGATTTCATAAGACTGGATCATTTAAAAGGAAACTAAATAAGCACCCAAAAAATAAAGAGATCAAGGGATATGGGGAAAGTGGGATTAACATCTTTGCCTGAAGTGATAGTTGAATTCAAGAGGAAGTTAGTACTTCACATGAAGGAGAGAGGAATAGAAGGTGACAACCTGTGTGGAGTACAAACACTGGCACAGACTGGATGGGCCAAGTGGTCTGTTTCTGTGCTGTGTATTCTTTGTAAAAACACACAATGGTCTCCTTTTGTCCTGAAAATGTTTATGTTTCTATACCAATGTTTCCACATTAATGCCACTGATTCCACATTACTGCCCTAATCAATATTAAATATAAAACCAATATCAAGTTTTGAACTGCTAGTTTAAAGGAAAGAAAATCCTCAGTATTATGCACTCCATTATACCAGTCCATTGTGCCTCTGATTAATTGGAAATAAGATTTTCCACAACAGCCTTCTTTGTATAATGCTTTTGTACAAAGAATATGATTTTCAGATTGTTGGTAGCAGGAGGAATTGCTACCACCAACGGTTATTAAATTTGCTCATTTAGCTACTTACATTTCTATCATCTGGTAGATGTGTTGGCCTTACCTCTATCAGATATCCTGTTTCACATCACAAAGATGTCTCAAAGCGCTTCACAGCCTTTACTGTGAAGTTCACTATCTCAAAACAATGTGAGGCAACAGTAAACAAGGCAAACAGGATGCTGGGCTATATTACTAAATCAGTCGAGTTTAGATCCCCAGACGTCGTTCTCAGGTGGTATAGACTGCACCCTGAATACTGCAAACAGTTTTAATCACCACAAAATAATGGGGTTGCCTAGGTCTTCGAGATGGTACAGAGGAAAGCAATGTGGATGATCCCTAATGAATGAGCTATGAGCAATGACTAGGCAAGTTGAGTCTTGAGGGAAGACGATCCAGAAGGGACCTCATTGAGGTGAACAAAATTTTAAATGGGATTGAAAAAATATACCCAGATCAAAACGTTGGGACTTACCTGGCAATATAAGACTGGTTTGAGATTTGGATTGACCTCTTTCTATGTTTATTTTTCTCTCCAGTGTGTGGATGTGACTTGGCCGAAGGTGGATTTTTTGTGAGGCGAGGGGAATATATCTGCACCGCTGACTATCAGAGACTGTATGGGACACGTTGCTTCAGCTGCAATGAATTTATAGAGGGCGAGGTGGTGTCAGCTTTGGGGAAGACCTACCACCCAAAGTGCTTTGTGTGTGCTGTTTGCAGGTAAGTAAAACATCTGCATAAAATGATGGGGAATGGCAAAGGGGAACTTGCTTATTACCCTTATTGTGATAGGTCCCTCCCTCTCCTTCACAGTTGCTGAAGTTGCTCTGAGAGGTGCTCGGAGAGTTGAAGAGAAATAATTGGCAAAATGAGTGGCCGAGAGAGTGAAGCGTGCAGTAAGGGTCTACCGTGTATGGTGTAGCTCCTGACGGAAAAACTTTTTGGTTAGCATCATAGCCAATTTTTTTCGCCTGATGACCAATTATCTGTGTATAGAGCTGGTCCCAATTAATGCAAAAAATTATCTCTTTTATACAACATGATCTTTAGTTTACATTTGCACTGACACATCCAGGATCATTTTGCTGTCTTCTTCTCTCCAAATTAAATTTTGCAATGTTGTGAATTAAATGACGATTTGAACTCATTGTATTGTACCAGTTTCCAATGATCTAAAATGGAAATCAAATGGCTTTTTTTTGGTTTCAATTCAATGTGATTTTTCCCTGGATTGAACTCACACCCAACCTGCAGTGCCCAAGTGTTCAAGGTGTTCTTACCTTGGGCAAAATGAAAAGGGAATTCCTTCTCAAGAATAAGGAACAAACCATGCGTGAAGGCCCTATAACAACACAATTTGTTGTTGTATTGTAGGTCCCACAGTACTAATACAATCAGCAATACTCAACCTATGTATGACCATCCCACTGACAGGTTCATTTCTTCACAGATGCTATGCTGTTGCTTAGCAACTTGCAAGGGTCCAAAACAAATTCTAAGTAGAATTAATCTAGGAACCATAGAAAGAGGAGGGTTATGTTGACGACAGGCGTTTAGTGGGAATAAGTGCTTCATGACCTATATTTACTGTAACAAAGCCTCAAATGCCACTGTTGTGTGTCTGCACATAATATCCTTCTCGTTCTTGCCAAGAGCTGCCTTACATCTTATTTAGGCCCTTGAAACAAGAATAGAACAGCATTAAAATCCATTTCTCTGGCGCATTAAACGCCTGCAGACAGAATCACAGAATATCCAAGATATAACCTTGCAATGCCCTTTTACCAGATACAGTCAGCCTGCACTCACTGTGTCCTGAGGTCTCCAGCAGGTTACTAGATCACCTGTGCAGACGCCCAAGAATTGAAACATTTCCCTGTCCCAGAGTCTGAAGCTTGAGATGGTGACCTCCAGCCCTCGTATCTCAGGATCACAAACCTCTACCCTTATAATTAGATCACTCTGCAAAGCAGCCAAGATTTTACTGCTTCATATGTTCAGACTTCTTATTTTGAAAAAGCTGATCCATGCTGGTAGAAAGGTCCACAGGTTCAAGCCGTGCATCCAACCAACAGTATAATCCCCCAAATGACCATTGCGGACAGTGGGTGTCACTGTGCCCAATCTTCTCTGCACCAGGGTACACTTCGATGCACACACATACACAAACACACAATCCCACATTCTCGCACAGTATTCAGCAGAGAGGTTGGAGTAAAACCCTGGCTGCTTTGCAGAGTGACCCCATTATAAGGCTAGAGGTTTCCTTAGAGCATGGGTATTCTGAGGACATGTGGTTACGGTAAGTGCACTCTGATTTCCGGTGTGGATTGGCTGGTTTCCTGCATATTCCCAGAGCTGGTACAGCATGGCTGAATTTAAATTGGACATATAAACAGTGGGGGATAATTTGCAACATATGGCAACAATACGTAGGCATTTGGATTGGATTGGTTTGGATAGTTTTAAGCAAGGTGATGGGTTTTCACATGTGTCGGACACGTGTCTAATCAAAAAATAGCAAGTATGTGTGCGGAGGGAATCAGAAATGCCTTTAACTTTTTAAATAAATTAAAAAATAATAATTGTGTGTTCCTTTCCAATAGTTCTTAATTCGCATTGTGTTCCTATATTTACATATGATTAGCAAAACTCACATATTAGATATCAGTTATTATTATTATTGTTAGATTAGATAGCAGTACCAATGCAACTGAACTATCAGGGGAGTATTCACAATAAGTTTATAATGAATCAGATTACAAACTGGTTTTGGAGTTGATGGCATTGGGTTTATGTTTTTTTTTATTTTTGTTTACTTCAGTGTTTTTTTGTTGTTGTGTTTACCACAGTGAGGAATGTACCACATGTGTGTAGCAGAGACAAGAATAGTGGCAGAATTAGAAAAATAGCCTCAGTGAGTGCAACATCCAAGAAAAACCTTGATACATTTTCTGGTTGAAACATCTGTTTGATTATGGCAGGAACACAGGAGTGCTGGAGGTCTATGAATCCAAGCGGCCTCCAGAAGCCAATTTGAAATATTTATGCAACATCTCCTGTATTTGGAACACTTCCCCAGACAATGATGGTGTCCTGAGCTCTGTCCGATGTGGACAGGAGTTCAAATGCACAATTTATTAGAATCCGTTGAAACATGGCTGCTAAAGCATGCAGTAGATTTGATGGAATTCAAAATTTGCTCAATTGACATGACTGTCCTTTAGCTGTTCTTCCACCTCAGATTAAAAGCTATATTGGGAGAGGAAGCCTCAAATGTAAAGGTAAATGTAAGGAATCATCCATTTTATGACACATATCCAATACAAATGGGAATAGACAATGGGGGAGAAATTCTTCCCAGATCTAAGATTTATTCGATTTATTTAGTATTCTAGTGTCAAGAAATTGACAAATTCTTGAATATAACCTTAATTCAGAAGCCAGTTCTTTTGGGAAGTACAAAAAAAACAGCTTAACCAAATTCACCAATTTACCAAATTCCAATTTACAAAATACCAAATTTACAAAATTTACCCTATGAACTGTCAAGTAAATAGAATAATTCTAGACCCAGGTGGTTGCTACTTCTCAAATATATTTTGTTATTTGCTAGATTCTTGTCAGAAAATGCCTCTTGCATTAGTGACCAAGCATTCCAAGATGTAATCCTATGTGAAGGGCACTCTATAAAGGCAAGTTGCTGTTGTTAAAATAGCTTTTAATAAAGCAGCTTCGACCAATTTTCATGCAGTACAAGATCCTAATTGAGGTTGGTCTTTGTCAGCTGAAAACATTTTCTGGGACAAATATACTTCAAGACTGAGCAGACACCTGGTGTGGCTCAGTGATTCAGAATTATCAGCTCAGCTCAAAAATGCTTTGTTAGGTCATTTTTTCAGTGATGTCACCCAGGGCACACTGAATGTATCGCTACTGCTAAATATAATCTCTCTTTGTATACTTTGTCAGTTTTGTGAAATTTTTATGTTGTGTTTTTTATAGCAATAATAATCCTTGCATTTGATATAGTTCTTTATCACATCATTGAGACATCTCAAAGTGCTTCACAGGATATACTGTAAAGTGGAATTAATTACTGTATGTTTGTGTGTGAAATGCGACAGCCAGTTTTGTGCACAGCAGTGTCCCATAAACAAGTCATTGAGTGAGTGGCCAATTTCATTTGGGGGATTTGTTGGCCAGAACACTGGGAGAAACTCCCTTCTCTTTTCCAATAGTGCCATGGGATAGAATCATTGCAGTTTTGTTTATATTGTTATGAGTCCAATTAAACATGGGTAAAATCACTGACTTGCTAACTTGGCAAATTGGCACCATTGTACACTAAACAGTCTTTTTCCTAAGGATATTCCATCCATCATTCATTGGTTGTTCATCTGAAAGAAAAGCAAATTTTCCTACTCTCCTTACAGAAACATTAGACACCAGGAATACCACGTTCAATGTCATTAACAGTGACACTATGACACGAGAGATTCAAAAGCAAAACTCAGTAGAACAGCTACAGGAATAAAAATTGTGCCAGAGGATTTTTGGTTACTGTAAGTCATTTTGGGTTACTGGTGCTGTAGGATTTTTGGTTACTGGTTCTGTAAGCCAGATGTCTGACACACATACAAACCATGAAGAAAAAGATCTAGATGTTAGTTAACTCATCGCTCGCCATATTCAAATAATATGAGGCAAACTTGATGGTGGGCTATATTGCCAAATCAATAGAGGTCAGATATCCAGATGTCATTCTCAAGCTATATTGCGCTTTGATCAGGCTGAACCAAGAGTGCTGCATTACATTTCTAGTCACTGCAATATAAGGGGCTTCCCATGACATTCAGGCAGTGTAGAAGAGAACAACAAGGATGATCCCCATTATTAGAGAAATCAGCTATGAACAGTAATTGGACAAGCTAGAGCTCTTTAGTCTTGAAAGATGTCTTGAAATTGTGATATCTTCTCATCCAAACTGAAAGGCTCTAACTAAGTAGGAGCAGTGTTTACCAGCTGGTTGATTGGTTTGCCCTTCACAAACCAATCTAAGAGTTGCAGTGAAAAACTCGATCCTTATGATGAAATATAAAGTATGATTGGTTGGGGGACTTGATTTAGATGTTGTCATAATGCTGAGGTGATGACAGTCTAGTCTCAGCCATAGGCAAGTAAGTAGGAGGGAGTCCTTTGAATTAACACCACTTCATATTTGTTATTTGTACAGTCCTCGCAGTAATATCATGATCTCTGAAATTGTCGTGATTCACTTCTGTTTCATTTAGAAGTTAGAATGAGTGACCCATTCCAGAGAAGCTTTTGAAATATTGGACAGAAAACCTAACGGCATTTTAATTTGTTTGTCTTTCTTTAAAACCGACCCATCGGCGCTAACGAGCTGCAAGAAAATGGCAGACAATAAACTGGATAATCAAAGGCTAAGGAATTTCAAGAAAAAAGGGCGTGATCTAGAGACTGTGAGACGACAACAGAATGAGCTGGTTGTGGAACTAAGAAAGATCAAAAGGGACCAACACTTTTTAAAGCGAAGGAATGTTCCAATAGGGGATGAAGATACTGAGCTTGATAGTGACTTTAAAATCCAGAACTCATCACTAGAAGAAATCATAAGAAATACTTCCAGCAATAACCGAGACCTTCAACTCTGTGGGTTGAAAGCTGCCAGAGAACTTATGTCTAGTAATTATGGTCCACCAATTCAAGATATAACCAAATCTGGATTTTTTCCAATTCTGGTGCACTTTATACAACAGGACAACAACCATGTGTTACAGCTAGAGGCAGCGTGGACTTTAGCAAACATAGCTTATGGTCCCGCTGAAAACACAGAAGCTGTGATTACGGCAAATGTGGTCCCATCTGTCCTGAAGTTGCTGGACTCCACGTATGAGGAAGTTGCTGAACAGGCGCTTCTGACCATCGGCAACATCATCAGTGATGGGCCTAAATTTAGAGATTATATTATTGGCCTGGGGTTGATAAAGCCGCTACTTTCATGCATCAACCCTTCCAAGTCCCTCAGTTTTGTTCGCACAGTCACATGGGTAATTCTAAATATCTGCCGACGGAAGGACCCTTCCTTATCCCAAAATGTTGTACAGGAAATCCTTCCAGAGTTGTGTGCTCTTATCCACCACTCTGATACTGCTATCTTGATAGACACGGTTTTGATATTTTCCTACATAACAGATGGTGATAATGAACAAATCCAGATGATTATAGATTCAGGAGTAGTTCCTTACTTGGTGCCGCTTTTCAGCCACCAGGATATCAGTGTTCAGACTGGAGCATTGCGAGCCGCAGGAAATATTGTAACGGGCACTGATGAGCAAGCACAAGTAGTCCTGAATTGTGGAGCTCTTTCTCACTTCCAAGCATTACTCACTCATCCGAACACAAAAGTCAATAAGGACGCAGCATGGTTTCTGTCCAATGTGACTGCCGGGAACCAGCAACAAGAAGAAGCCGTGATCAATGCTAACCTTATTCCTCTCATTATAAATCTCATGGACAAAAGTGATTTTGCTGTTCAGAAAGAAACTGCTTGGCTGATAGCGAATCTAACTAATTCTGGCCAAAAAGATCAGATTGATTATCTGGTCCACCAGAATGTGATATTTCCATTCTGTAGCCTGCTTACAATGGTGGACCCACAGATAATTTTAGTGGTACTCGAGGGAATAAGTAACATCCTTAATACAGCGACCGATAAAACGAAACTCATAGCACACCAGATTGAAGAATGCGGAGGTTTGCAAATGATTGACCAGCTCCAACTCCATGAAAACGAGGATATCTATAGGATGGCCTATGACATCCTTGATCAGTTGACATCAGATGAAAATGAAGAGTCTACCCCGGCCCCAGAAGCAATGCAAGATGACAAACCTGTTTTCAGTTCTTCAACAGACAACCCAGAAAATGGCACTCAATTCTAAAAGAAAAAATACAAGGCATTGTTTCGGGAGTCCTGCATTGAAATCAAGCATCACAAAACATTGTGCTCAATCACAATTTACTTCTCTGCAGGATTAAATCAAAGTGTGCACAGTTGTATGTAAATGTATCCAAACTTGGATTTGCTCCTCCAGGATAACGATTAAACCCACAGAAAGCAGCAACATGACTTTTGTTTATTATTAATGTATGTGAGAGAATTTACTCCTTTAACCTCAATTGCAATAATTACTTGTAACGCTCAAGGTTGAAATATGCACCCAAAGTGGGGGAAAAGCAAGATGTGATTATCACTGGAGCTATGATCACATCAAAAGTAGTCATTGGTTATCACAAGGCCATGATTATAATATTATAACTAAATTATAATTAAGTAATATTAAAATATTGCATGCAGAATTTTCTATTTTCTAGCATGCCTCTGCGCCCCAAATGTATTTAGTTGCAGTTTGTGAGCAGTATATATTAGATGTTAGAAACGTTAATTGGTAAATACTACTGACCTCTATCTTAAACTGAAAAGGAGAGTTTAGGCAAATAAAGGAGATTAGAGGATGTTGATAATAATAGTAGGGATTTCAGTTTGTCAGAATTAAATTGACAAGAGAGGTTTGAATGAAGAATTGGGTCAATTTGATCTCAACCTTTCAGGATACCAACCCTACCATATTCCCAATACAGCACCACACTGGCTGTCCATGGCTGTGCATTCCCTGTTGGCTGCCCTAAAACTGTCCTTCACAACTCTCTGAACATGTGACCTCTTGGTCTGCTGTTTCAGCGTATCTTTAAAGCCTGTTTTGGGTTAACTTTCACTCCCTATCATTTACATAGCCACCATTGGTTTATTTTAGTCTATTTTAAGTACCTCTGCATTTTCACAGCTAATCATTATGATCGTCAACTATTTGCTGAGACAATTGATTGATCACCGGGTGTCTGAATACCAGTCATGGTTCTATAAGCGTTGGTAAATGTTATTGCTCTCTGTATTCCTTGTTCACTCTGTTGACTCGGCAAATAAAAGTAGCTTCCTTGGATGTTTCAAATATGGGATTTATGGGGTTTTATGTTTTCCACAATATTCTCACATTTCCAGTAGCTGACAGTGCTGATGGCATGTGAACAATTGGTTATATAAAGGGACATTGCCAAGTGGTCAATTTACAAGGTTGATAGATAGGGGACATTGTAATTGTGCAATTGATCCCAAGGTATCATTGCAGCATCGGTCTCATTTGCTATTGAATAATTTAAAAAAGGGAACTCAGCCAATAATACAGGAAAATTACACTAATAGTTTGTGCTGCAGATACAGCTTCTGCTCCACCACAGATATTCCCAGTGACTGAACTGAGTGTGACACAACCCATTTTTGGAAAGAGTGTTCCTGCTCCACCATGAACTAAAAACTCAAAACTACAGTAACCAAATGAGACAAGAACAGCCAACCCTTCAACCAGTATCAGAGACTTAACTCTAAACCAGCAGTCATTTTAAGTTATGCCATACTAGAAAGGCAAATTAATCCAGACTTCACGGTGAGGGAAGGTAGCATTTACAAGAAATCAAATGAAGCGGTCGAAGGTATCCGATATCCATAATAAATAGATATTCAACTTGAAAGTGAATGCAACTCTTCGTTTCTCTGAGTACAGAAGCAATGACCCCTATTCTGAATCCTGAATAGTTCTCTGGTCTATCAGCCTAAAAGTGTAAGGGCACTTATTTTTCAGGAACGTTGTCAATATTCATTGCATTCCATTATATAATAATAATCCTTGCATTTGATATAGCATTTTTCACGTCTTTGAGACGGCTCAAAGTGCTTCACAGAATATACTATCGTGAATTGACTGTATATTTGTGGGTGAAATGCAGCAGACAAATTGTGCACAGCAGTGTTTGCCTTACTGTTGGTCAGGACCCCGATAAACTCCCTTCTCTTTTCAAATAGTTTCATCAACATGAAACGTGACAAAAGGTCATTGACCTGAAACGTTAACTTATTTTCCTCTCTGTTTCGATGCTGTCTGACCTGTTGAGTGTTCCCAGCGACTTCTGTTTTTATGGGATCTTTAACGTCCATTTGAACAGACAGACAAGGCCTTGGTTTAACGTTTCATCTGAAGGATGGTACTCAGAATGACAATGCAGCACACCACAGCATTGTATTGCAGTATCAGTTTATACTGTATGAGTTCCAAGGGTTTGAGCCCACAACTTTCAGACTCGAGAGGCAAGATTGCGAGACCAACTGAACCACACTGTAGGCAAACATCAAGCTTCAGAACATGATGGAGGCTGAAGGAGTAGGCTAACCCCAGGCTCCTCTCCACCCTCTCACACCTCGCCCATCCTCAGCTCCAATGCCAACTGCGAGGCGATGCTGGACTTCTTCGAATCCAAAGTCGAGGGGATCCACTCAGCTGCCTCTGCCCTTCCATCTACTATGCTCTCCCCATCTCACCCCAGCCCTTATCCATCCTTCCCTCCACACCTTCAAAGCTGTCTCACACTCCTCTCTCATCACCAATATAACCCACATGAAACCGACCACAGGCTCACTCGACTCCATCCCTACCCCTCTCCTTACCTCCAAGCTCCACCTCCTTGCCCCCTACTCAGAGACATCATAAACTTCTCACTGTCCACTGGCACCATTCCCATCCCATCTCATCACTCCTACCCTTAAAAAACCCACGCTGGACCTATTTCTGCTCTCAAACTACAGCCCCATCTCCAACCTCCCTTTCTTCGCTTCTTCCTCTCCCGCCACTCCCTTCACAACCCCTCCAATCGGGTTTTCGTGCTGCCCACAGCACAGAAACAGTCCTAGTCAAAGTAACAAATGACATTCTGTCCATCTGCGACCAGGGCTCCCTCTACCTCCTCGTCCTCCTTGAACTCTCTGCTGCCTTCGACACCGTTGACCACTCTATCCTCATCCACCACCTCTCATCTCACCTCAACCTTCACAGTTCTGTTCTTGACTGGTTCAGATCGTACCTCTCACACGCCTCCATTTCATCTCCACAAACGGTTTATCCTCTAGCCCCTGCACTGTCTCTTGCAGCGTTCCTCAGGGATCAGTGCTTTGGTCTTCAAGTCTTCAATATCTATATACTCCCTCTTGGTGATATCATCTGCAGACATGGGGTCAACTTCCACATGACACCCAACTAAACCTTTCTGCCTCTACCCTTGGCTCCAGGACCACTACTGTCCTGACAGAATGTTTGTCAGACATCAAATCCTGGCTGAGAGCTAACTTTCTTCAGTTGAATGTCAACAAGACCGGGGCCCTCCTGATTGGCTCCTGTCAGCGCTTCCACACCTCGGGCGCTGACAGCATCACCATCCATGGAAGCGACTCCATCTTACTAAGACAGTCCGGAACTTTGGCATCTCGTTTGACCTTCAACTATTCTTTCTACCCCACATTCATGCCATAACCCGCTCTGCCTTCCCCTACCTCCACAACATCGCCCAGCTCAGCCACTGTCTCACACCGCAGGCCACAGAAACCCTCGTAAATTCACATCGAGGCTTGACTGTGCAAACTCCTTGCTTGTCGGCCTCCCCAACTCCTCCTTCCATAGGCTGCATATCATCCAGAACTCTGCAGCCTGTGTCCTCTCCCTCATCAGGCTCCGCAACCCTACCACCCCCATTCTTGCCCAGTTCCATTGGCTTCCCAACACTCAGAGGATACAGTTCAAGATCCTGGTCCTCACCTTCAAAGCTCTCCATGGTCTTGCTCCCCCTGCCTCTGCGACGTCCTAACCCCCTACCAACCTGCTGGCTCCCTCCACTCAGCAGGCTCTGGCCTGCTTCTCCCGCCTTGCCCACCCCTTCATTGACGGGCAAGCCTTCTGCCACTCTGCCCCCACCCTCTGGAACTCCATCCTGCAATCCCTCTGCCTCACCCCCTCCCTTGCTTCCTTCAAGGCCCATCTCAAGACCCTCCTCTTCGACCATGCTTTCGATCTCCCCCGCTGTCCTCCACCCTCCCCAATCCCAACCCCCTGCTCGGGTCCAAAACAGTGACTGTCCAGCGTCTTGGGACGTCCTCCCAACATGAAAGGCGCTATGCAAATGTAATGGGTTTTTTATTGTGAAACATGCAGAATAGCGTCTCTCAGTACTGGAGGAGGAGCACCATTTTATAGGTATATTTAGCAATTGGGTGGTCTGGGTATAGCTCCATTGCACATTGCATAAAAGTGTGATGGGAGCTTAAAATTACATTACATTAGGGAGGGAGATGGGATGCTTAACAGGTAAGGACATCAAGGAATTCAAAGAACTGTCCTTCCTGTCTGTGCCCTGGCCTCACTGTTCTCCATCCCTCAAATGAATGATAATCAAATGTAGGCAAGTTTAGTTTGTTTTAGTAGTTCAGAAATTGTGAGGTTGTTGCTCATTGTTTGGCTAAATATTATTTATTTCACGGTCTGAAATTACTTCATAAGCAATCATTATTTTTTTCATATTATCACTGCTCATTATGTTTTAAATAAATGTTTCCTGTGACCTTTTCAAATTACTGTGTTGGAGAAATAGTCAATGGCATGTTATTGAATTCAGCTTTAATCTTACAGCTGTGCAGCAATACTTAATGGGTATAATGTGCACAAGCATAAATTTATACCACATTAATCATACTGGTTTGTCTCCACTAATGGCTTCTCCGCCAGCCCCCGCACCGTCACATGTGGCATTCTTTTGGATTCTGTCCTTGGTCGCCTCCTTTTCAACATCTACATGCCTTGGTGACATCATCCGTAGACGTCCCAACTCACCCTCAAAGACTGCCTCTCGGACATTAAGTGCTGGAATGAGAGCTAACCTTCTCCATTTGAATGTCAAGAAGACCTTCTGCTTGTCTCCCGTCAGCACCTCCATATCTCGGGCGCTGAGAGCATCTCCCTCCATGGATGCACTCTACATCGCACGGAGCCAATTCAGAACCTCGGTGTCCTGTTCGACTCTCAACTGTCTTCATCCTCCACAGCTGTGCAATGACCGGCTCTGCCATTTCCCACCTCTGCAATATTGCCCAGCTCCGCCAATGACTCTCACCGCAGCCTGCCGAGATCCTCATACACGCATACATCACATCCAGGCTCAGCTACGCAAACTCCCTGCTTGTTGGCCTCCCCAACTGCTCTCTCCACAATCTGCAGATCATCCAGAACTCTGCAGCCCGTGTCCTCTCCCACTCCAGGCTCCATGACCTCATCCTCGTCCAGCTCCACTAGCTCCCCATCATTCAGAGGATACAGTTCAAGATACTGATCTTCACCTTCAAAGCCCTCCATGGCCTTGCTCTTCCCTACCTCTGTGACCTCCTAAACCCCACCAACTAATTTTTGCTGTCAATGCTACAAGCAAACATTAAAAGATAATTGAGTGATGTAGAAGCTAGATTTGCCCCAAAATGGAATAACTTTGGAACAGGTTATGAGATAAGACTATGGCACATTGAAGCTTCGGGAGTATTTGACCTCTGCATTGACTCACTCATCTATAATAATTTGGGTATTTTAATGAGAATTGAATCAATACTTGAGGAAAAAATAATATTATGGGAACAGGGAAAGTAATTAGAAAACTCCACAGTGGAGTTAGCACTGACGGAGATACAGGATCAAGTGACTTCCTGTTCTGTCGTAAGCATTCTCTGATCCTAATGATATTAATTAAAATAGATTTTTGAATCTTCCATTGGTATATGGGTATGGTATTTTTATGTAAATAAGTAATGTTGAATTCCAGGTCTTAGAACATGACAGGACAGGTTGATAGAGCTATTAAAAAAAGCATATGGGATCCTTGTATAGGCATACAGTACCAAAGCAAGGAAGTTTTGCTAAACCTTTACAAGTCATTGGTTAGGCCTCAACTGGAGTATTGTTTTCAACTCTGGGCACCACACCTTTGGAAGGATTTCCATGCCTTGGAGAGGGTGCAGAGGAGATTTACGAGAATGGTAGGAGGGATGAGGGCCTTTAGCTATGTGGAGAGACAAGAGAAGCTGGAATTGTTCTCCTTAGAGCAAAGAAGGTTAAGGGGAGATTTAATAGAAGTGTTCAAAATTATGAGAGATTTTGACAGAGTAGATGGGGAGAAACTGTTTCCACTGGCAGATGGGTCAGTAACCAGGGGATTCAATAACAACTCTCAAATGTGAATTGGATAGATACTTGAAAAGATTGGAAAGAGTTGCGGAGTGGGACTGATTTGGAAGCTCCTCCAAAGAGCTGGGACAGGCATGATGGGCCGAATAGCCTCCTGTGCTGTAATATTCTGTGATTCTATGATAGTAAATGCAGTGTGCCTATCCATATCAATAAGCATATTGCATCTGTAAGGGATACAAATGCTTTTGTTAGTTTGAAATAATGAATTGCTATGATTTCCGCAAGGTGCCTTTATACCACCCCTATGAATACTGTAGCTGATGTCGTTGGCTGATTTTAGATGATATTTCCATTTCTGCATTTGAAATAGCAAAGGCATCATCATGGGTGTGACTGACATGGAAATAAATATTTAGCTACATCCTTCCTATAATGATTCTTACAAAGGGCCTACTTTCTAGATCAGGGCAAATACATTAGTTTTCCTCTACCAGACAAGCATTGGAACCACACCTCTGTTTACCCAGCAGTAAGTAGGTTACCGATTACTAGTCGAAGGATGGATCGCTTTTCTGGGGCTAATAATTCCCTCAAAAAATAGTAATAATAATTTGGTCACTAATCCACTACTGTTTTTGGGACATTGCTGTGCGCAATTGGCTGCCGCGTTTCGCCCACAAAATATGCAGTCAATTCACTGTACAGTATATTCTGTGAAGCGCTGTGAGAAGTCTCGAAGTGGTGATTAGCTGCTATATCAAAATGCCAGGATTATTATAACCAGTAATATAGAGCATGAAGAAAAGAGGAGAAGGTGAGAAGAGGGACATCGATTCAGGTTAGAGTGGGCATCAGTGTATCAGTGCTCCTCGTTGTTTGGTATTGCTTTTTTAAGGCCTATTTTAACTCTAACATTTAAGTGCAAATAAAACCTAAAAAATTTCTGTGGGAAAAAATACAATGAAGCTATCTTTAAAAACATAAACTTTGGCCTATTATTTGAGTTATCAAGATTGGTGTTTTTTCCTCAATAAACCAACAATACACAACATGGGAAACTATTAATAAATAATCCTTGCATTTTGACAAAGAGGTTTTCATGTTGGTAAGACATCCCAAAGCCTTCACAGGATTTACTGTAATGTGTAATGACTGTTAATTGTGTAGGGAAGTATTATGTATCCCTGATACAAATAATCAAGAATAATTTGAATGTAGATTTTGAGGAAATGGACTAATCATTGGATCAAAGAACAGAGAATTTGTCTCCAGATACTTGGTGCCCATTCATGGTATCCTGTATCCTCACAGCATCTTTGCAGAGCCATTCTTTACACATCACTTCTCAAGCTTCCCTTGACCAGTAGTTCTAAGGTTTAAAGGATAGGAAGAGAGAGTGACTAGCAACAAACAAGTTGAGCAGACAATTTTCTTTAGTGGCAGTCTAGGTCTCTACAACTAAGTTTTTCATGGTATTTCACATTAAGGGTACCTCTTGAAAGGATTTGCCAGCAATCTTTGATGATCAAACATTTGTCTTATAACTATAAAACCAGGCACATAGTAAATTGCACAGGTATTAAAATTTGTACCTGGAGTTCTCAAAATGTCTACAACAACTCAAACCCCCCCACCCCCACATGCACACACACACACACACACACATATCAAAACCACCACATCAACAACAACAACAACAACAAGATTCCATTTATTGAGCGCCTTTCACGTCGGGAGGACGTCCCAAGGCGCTGTACAGTTGGGTCAGGACCCGAGCAAGGGGGAAATGGTCAGGGTGAGGGGAGGGAAGGGAGGGAGTGAGGAGGGGGTAGAGAGTCGAGAGGGGAGCTGAAGGCACGGTCGAAGAGAAAGGTCTTGAGACCGGCCTTGAAGGAGGAAAGGGAGGAAGCGGCGAAGGCACTGGGGATAGAGTTCCAGAGCCGAGGGGCTGAGAGGCTCAAGGCCCGGCCACCGATAGTAGGGCGGTTGGGGCGGGGGATGTGGAGCAGACCGGAGCCAGAGGAACGGAGGGTACGGGCGGGTAGGTAGGGGGATAGTAGGTCGGAGAAGTAGGAGGGAGCAAGGCCGTGAATGGCCTTGTAGGTGAGGGTGAGGATCACACTGTGAATATGCATTAGGGTGTATCTCATGCATCACATTTTAGGGTAATGGTCAGCAGAGTAAAAATAAGTGGTCCTTTCACTGAAATAACAATGCATATGTTTATTTTGCTCAATTGATCCGAATGCATCATGTAATATAGAATGTATCATATTAATAAAACGTTATTATCCTGTGTTGAGAAAGCATTCAGTCTCCTTGGAGAATGCCATTGCCTTGGGCAAGTAGCTTTCATCTTACTTTCCTAAGTGAACAGTTAATTCTTCTCTTAGTAATTACAAAACCTCTTATTAAAAATGTGCATTGAAACATCCTTATTACAATTTTACTCATCTGCTCTATGCATGAGTGCATGAGTAAAAGAATGAACTATTTTATGACTGGAAAGCTAAGAAAAGAAAGCTTACCTTTTTATTATGTTTGTATTATAGTAATACAGTACACAGCAACTGTGGGGGTTAGGGTGTCATGAGAGAAAGACTGCATTGTTCTGGATTACTGCAGACTTCAATAGCATACTTTTAAATAACGCAGCTACTTACAGATTATTTTAATGAAAGAAAGTATCGCCCTTAGTTTTTTTCTGGTGTAATAATTAATGAAGCCACCACAGATGGAAGACGTTAGAACGTCACAAGCAATTAATACAAATTAGAGTTTTGCAATGCCCTGACCTAATACTGTCTTTAAATGGCTGCGTTTCATCAATCTGAAGAGAATTAATGTTCGCATTTAAAAAGTGGCCTAAATCTCATTACTGTATTGCCATGTAAAGTAAAAGTTCACTTTTGCTAGTGTTTCAGGCTCCTCCGCTGTGTCTCAACATTCTGTATCAATCCAAAACATCAGCTGCCTGTTATTCTCTTCCACACAGTGCTATTGTTGCATGTTCGAGTTTTTTTTTAAACAACAGTTTTAGTTCATATTTTGAAAATCATTTAAATCATTAAAATCATGTAAATTGGTGCTATAAAAGCAGTGTTTTTCCTTTTGTGCTGTTAATGGATGGTTTCTAAATAAATAAGGCAAGCCACACACATTATTTTGTCTGTTGATATACAGTACTGCAAGGCATATTGACAACTTGAAAATCTTTTACAAAGAACTGAATACAAGTAGAGAAAATAATAATGGGTTTGAGGAAACCATTATGTAATAAAAAAACGTGTTTCTATTTTTGCAGGGTGATGCTATAAAATCCTTGAAATTGTTGACTGTGTACGAGGTTGTAACAGTTATTACATCTTTGTTTTCATTCTGTCTTCTGTAACTATTGGCAAGTAATATCAGAGGTATCCAATATTTGAGTCTACATCCACGTGTTCTAAAAAAAAAGCACCAAAGTAGAAAGAAATGTGTTTGATGTAAAATCTTGAAGCCTTGAAGTATTAAATTGGTAGGAATACCATTCAACATGTATCAAAAGGGGATTCTTCAATAAAATATTAAATCTGCAATGAATTGGTTTGTGGTAGCGTTAATCTGATTTTTGTTCTTTTTCATTTCTTATTTTTTTTCTTATATTCAGACAGCCGTTCCCACCTGGAGACCGAGTGACCTTTAATGGGAAGGAATGCATTTGCCAAAAGTGCTCTCAACCTCTGACCACCAACCCTGAACTTGTGCCTACCAATTCTCTACAAAGTAAGTGCTCTCAATTACCTCTAATCATTTGCAGCACATCTTCAAGTCTACATACCTCAAAATACTTCACAAGAATTACTGTAGAGTGTTTTGTAGACTTGTCTTTTTTTCATGGGTCAATTGCCTTGATTTGGGGACATGTAAGTTACACCCTTAAAGGTACAGACCTGCAGGTATATTTTCAGTATGCAGCAGAGTCTGCTGCTGAGCTGTCACATAGCGGAGGCGTGTGAGATGCTGGGACTTCCATCAGATGGTTGGTAAGTGTTCAGGACATTTAAATCTCATTATTAATTGAATTAACAGAATGCACGTAGGATTCTGGGAAGATGGGAAAAGGTGCTGTGATAGGACGTGTTTAGCAAAACGGGTAACAAATATCAGGTGAATTATTCCAAAAATCAAAGAATCAGTCACCCTTATCACGTTAACATAGAAATGCATGAAAAATGAGCAATGGAAAATCAGATGGGTTCCGCCATGTCCAATATTTGTTGTATGAAGATATTTCTAACTGAATGATGGTCTTGTAACACATTTTCATTAAAGCTTTTCTAAATCTGCTATTTTGCAGAGTGTGGAGGCTGCGGCCTAGAGATTAAAAATGGACAATCCTTGGTAGCCCTGGACAAGCACTGGCATTTGGGTTGCTTTAAATGTCATACCTGTGGTAAAGCCCTTTCCGCTGAGTATATCTGCAAGTAAGTATGGTTTGTTCAAAGGTCCTGATCAACTAAGAGAGTTCAGTTTTGATTTAAAGACGTAGAGGGTTACTTTTTTTCCACACATGTTGAAGTGCTCAAGACTACTTTGCTCTGTTAGCTTGTTTCAGCAAATTTGCCCCTAAATGCAGATACATAACTGTAATAAAATGTTAGAATTAGAATGCAATTGTATACAGATTATTTTATTGACAATTTAAACAATGTAGTTACAGTCATTTGTAAGTGCACAGATAACAATTTGTAGAATGAAGGAGAACACAGGTTTGAAGAGCTGAATGACCTATGCATGTTCAACTGTTTTGAGTGTACATCAATAAACAAACAACCATTTGGTGAAGAGAGCACAACAACTCCCAATGGGTATTTACTACACAAAGTAATACAACCCATATCCACAAACCTTTGATGACTAATCCTTTAAGGGAGCTGTCTGTCCTCACTTGATTTGTGGAAAGCTTTAAATGATATGTTAGGTGATCCTTTCTGAGGTGTGTCATCTGCATGTGTTTGTGGGCGCAAAACTGAATTGAACATTTTATTTCTTCATTACGTAAAGTCATAGAATGTCTCTACTTTGCACACAATGGATCTTGTTTAACAGTCAGTTCACATTGACATAGGGTGGTATCACCACCATCATTTGATCCAATTTTGAGGCTCTGATTTAAAATTCAGTAGGTTCTTTACAGAATGTTTCAAAGAACACCTACATTTCCACAAAGCTAAAGAAGAGTTAAGATGCATCCATTCTGCATATTATAGGTTTCTTTCACCTGATTTAGCAACCTTTCGCATCGGGAAGATGTCTCACAGGACTTCACAGGATACACTGTAAAATGTAATGACTGTGTATTTGATATCTACTTTTTATGAGCTTAAAATTAAGAGGAAGAAATGTAATCCCAAAGATCTGGTAACTGGTGTATGAGAAATATAGTGCAAAAGAAGGATGAAGCATCCTTTTAACTTTCCAAGAGATCTGCCTTCACTTTGTATCAAACTGAAAATGATGAGTGTGTCGCTTTATGCCATGTGTGTAATTTGCATGCGTTTGATGTGGACGCTTCATACGTCTGGCCCAGGGTTCTGCAGTGAACTGTCTTGGATCAAACGATACTATGGTGCAGCAAAATATGGCGGATGAAAGTCTAGTGATGGCTTGTTTATTTTTACAACCTCAAATTGAAAAATCCCTTTTAGTTAGTACCTTTAAGATCTTGTATCCAACACAAGGATACTCTTTCATTTGTGTGCTTTTGGGCTGCAAAAAATACTTGGAAAAAAAGATGGCCACCACAGACTGAACTGCACCAATCAAACCGCATCAGTAATTAAAGATGCCAGCTATTAATACTGCAGTGCAGTGCTCATGTTGCAAGCAACTTCTCTCTTACACTGCCTGTCTGAAGCTATGTCCAGTGGTATAAGGAGCAAATGTTACATTTACTGGTTTGGAAGCTCAAAACTACTTCAACTCTGGCTACTCTCATACTCAGGTGAAAAGTAATATATTCAGAAAGCTGAGAATAATTATAATAATAATAATCCTTGAATTTGATATAGCTCCTTATCACGTCTTCGAAATGTCTCAAAGCGCTTCGCAGAATATACTGCAAAGTGAATTAACTGTATATTTTGTGGGTGAAACAAAATGAACAAAATGCTGTGAACAACAAAATGAACATATCTGACAGTTTACATTATCTGTCTTTAACATTCTTTATTTGAAGTACTACATAGTAACTTTTGATCATTTTAAAATTAATGCAAATTAAGGTTTTTGATATATAAAAATGGACATGGTGCTTGGCATTGAAGTGTGGAGGAGAAATAAAAGGAAACAAAAATAAATTAAAGAGTATACGTTTTTTTGCAAAATACGATTAAGTTTTAAGTTTTAAGCTTATGTACAAATGAAGCATAGAATTTAGTGAAGAGAATGTTGTAAAAGTTTATACGTGTTTGTGATCCCATGTTGGTGTCAAGTGCGTGCACATGTGAGTATCACAAGTCACTTTCTACATCTAAGACCAATAATAATTTAACTATCAAACCTCTTGTTTTGTGTAGTATAAGCAAGAGGTTTCTCTTTCCACATCTTTGGTGCATTTGATCTCATCCGAACCAAAACACCCAACTGTCTTCTGTTTCGAAAAAGGCAGCAGCCTTGTGTTAGGATGAGGTACCTTCACGGGTTAATGGGTGATTTGTAATCAAGGAGAAGAGACATAGCACATGAGATTAGAAGAACAAATGAAACTAACAAAAAATGTACATGGTCTTGAAAAGAGATGTTTGAGAAATTACCTTACAGAAGTACAAATGATTTTAAATGAGATTGTGAAAATAAATCCAGAATAATATTGTTGGATGCATCGAGATGCACCAAGATGCAGGAGAACAAGGGGAAACAGTTGCAAAAGTAATTTTAGGACAGACAACAGGAAAAATACTGTAATGGGTATACAGTTGGGTGTTCTGGTCAAATGGGGCAAAGAGCCATCAAATGGGGCAAAGAGCCTTCTTCCTCTGAACTATCTTGTGAACTTGTAGACCAGAAAAACATATTTTGTCAAAAACCCAGTGGAAAACAAATTTTTGTTTTCCAGTGATTATGATGGCCCGTTTAATTCTTTTATTCTGACAGCCTTGGAGTGGGTCACAGTTTCATTGCTGCTCAATAAACCAGATGTTACTGAATGGAAATGCTTACTCACATCTGTCAAAGGAACTTGAAGTACAATGTTTCCAAGACAAATGGATGCTGCCCTAAAATGCTGCCTTTGAAACTCCCTAAAATCATATCTGTTTATAAACGTGAGTTTAGTTCCCCTAGTTTGATTCTCGCTGGCACATCCTGTGTTTTGAACAGCTTAATCTGAATAAGATAAAATCTAAAAGTTATGAATGATAATCCAAACTACTAATACGCATTTAGTAAATATTCACTAAAATGTCTTTCTAAGTCAATATGTACTGAAAGAACTAAAATGCTAAAGTCATGAATACTTACCTTATTTTACAAATAGTTAAACTTTGAAGGCTTAAAGAAAAGCTGCCAAATAGCAGTGTCAAAAGCAGATGAATTTTCCTATTCAGATAGGTTTTTCCACAACAGCAACGACAATTTGAACTTATCTAGCATCTTTCATGCAGGAAAAGGTCTCAAGGTGTTTTACAGAGACGAAATGTGTAACAGACAATTCTTTATATTTTACATGACATTCTTCTAGATAAACGAGTCTTCACATATAGTACGTACAAATTACAAACTTTCTCCCAGAAATTGTAAGTGTTTTGGAAATTGCTTGATGCCATCTTGGTAAGACTGTAAAATTGTTATTCTGGAATGATGAGGTCAGAGAAATGGGTTTCAACACCCAAACCTCTCTTATAATCCTGTGAAATATTTTCGCCCACAAATATACAGTCAATTCACTTTACAGTATTTTTTGTGAAGCACTTTGAGATGTCTAGAAGACGTGAAAAGCACTGTATCAAATGCAAGGATTATAAATGTCATTCACAATACATTTGCCATCACAATATTGCAGCCACAAATACGTGAGCTGCATCACCACTTGTGTCATATTAATTTTTTATATAAACATGCTGATGCATCGGAAGAGAATATTGATTCAATAAGGCAGTTATCCCTCTACTTGGGTCTGTGTGTGTCTGAAACTCGATTTATTGCATGAAGGTGGAACATAATGTGTTTAGCATATCTTGTTAGTACAATACTGGTTGAAATTAAAGATGGCAAACCATCATCTGCATCTGTATTGCATGCTGGTTGACAAATTTCTGCAGTGGTTGACAAATTTGCTTTTTGATTTGCTGTACTATATATGAAATACATTTAGTTTGTTTCACATGCTGAGAGATGGTGAGGTTGGAGGTTTATTTCACAGTTTAATGAAAGATTACAGTTAAAAATGATCCGCTGCTTTAAATAGTGTCATTGAGGCAAATAAAGCAGTAATACATTCTTTAATTAAGGATCGAAGTTAAAATGTGTTCTGTAATAATGTTGGTGACTAAAGTAAGCTGAATATGGTACAAACCACCATGGATTAGCGTTCATCGAGTGTCTGCTTTCAAAGCTGCAGCAGTCTTTTTGGGCAGCTTTACAGGGTTTGGTTTGGTTCAGTCATTATCCTTGAAGCAGCTTTGAAATGCTGCATTCCAGGATTATGTTTTGAGATACTGAAAAAAATGAAGAAAACTAAACCTATTAAACACTAACTGACCCATTTATTTCAGCAAATTGTGTCAAGGTTTTACTTCTGATAGGAAATGCAATTGTATAGTATTATACCTAATGATTGAGTTAGATCTGAAACCTATGCTATGTTGGCAGTGTTTTTATTTCAAATTCAGTTTCTCCTGCCTAAAATGCTATGTTGTTAATGTGCTTGCTAAGTCTCTGTTCATTTTGTAGGGCTGGGGCTCCTTACTGTGAGGCTGACTATCACTCTCAGTTTGGTATAAAATGTGAGCGTTGTGAGAAATTCATCACTGGCAGAGTCTTAGAGGTAAGAAGTTCTTTTTTTCTCTGTTCTCCAATCCTTTGCCTTCCTCAGTCTTCTTTTTCTGTCCTTCTCACCTGATGGCAGTGACTCATCCTGGGGTCTGAAACATGGTGCTTGGAAATCCTAGTAGCTCTCTGTCTAGTGGCCATTCTTCATTTTTGATTGCTTTCAGCTTATTCAGCCATAGAGAACCTCACAGGTGAGGCCACACTCATATATATAATACTAGCTGTACCTGTTGCAGCTTCGCTTGCAACCAAAGTATACAATATGGAATGTAGATTGACACACAGACAGACACACAAACAGACATTTCATTTTTATACTCATCTGAGAGGACTCCTTTTGGGAGGACTCGGTGCTTTAAAAATGTAATTTTGTTGTTGTTGCTGCAACTTAGCTTCGTCTGTGTTCTTCATTTTGTTCCCACCGCTTGGCTACGTACGTGCTCTGTGACACAGGATGCCACAGCGCTATGGTCAGCCGATGCAACCACCAGGTATAACTGCAGTTTGTGTGTACATACGTAGGTGCTCTGCAACATACAATGCCATGGCTCCACTTTGACTCGGCAGCCACCAGGTGTAACTGCAGTAAAAAACACAAACTGAAAATAACTCATAAACGATATGAGATACCTGAAACAAATATATCCATGTCACTTCCAAGCATAAGACCTTTCCGATGAGGTATAAATCATGTCTCTACATCAATCAGTTATTGAGATCCTTCTTGAAGCACAGACAGACATTGTTGTTTTATTTGTATAGATAGAAGATATATATATATAAACACACACACACATTACTAGGCTCTCACCTAATAGTCTCCAGAATTAGGCAAGCAGGATGCATCACTCCAGGTAGAGAGTATGCATTCCAATCCAATGTACAGGAATTCCCACGTATAGGTGGGATGCATGGAGTTCAGGTTGGTTTGTATACTCTGAAGCATGGTGATGGATGTGTGAAGACACCTGGTTAAACAACAAAAAATACTGTAAGGATCAATGGATAGAAATGAAGAGTCAAAAACCTGGTTGGGTTTTCCTCTTCCCCCAACAACAGCAACTTGCATTTAAAGGGCATCCTTCATGTGTTTATAGCATGTAGGAGCAAGAAGGGCCGAATGGCCTACTCCTGCTCCTAATTCTTATATTCTTATGTTCTTAAAGGGCAATTAAACTAAGAAGATTGATGCATCCAAGGTTACTGAGACTAATTGTACTACCCTTATTGCTGACCCAGCTGAAATCAGCCAATTGACTGTACACCAGGGAGCTTCCCGATTTGTTTGTTTCAGGATGCCACAAGGCACTGACTAATGGATTTATTTCAGTCCAGTTCAATTAGTTGTTAGAATAAAATAATCAGAGCTATTCTGTTTTGATCAATAGAAGAATTAACGTTTATTTAAATCTAGCACAAAAAAGAAACATCACTGTGTGTGTTTGTGTGGGGGGCATTTCACCCAACATACTCCCTGCCAAAAAAATCTAACTCAGCCCATGCCAAGTCTTAAACCCTGGGACCCTCTTTATTTGAATAGTTGAATATGGAAAAGAGAAGGCAACTGGCTCAGAGAATCAAATTTAGGCAGTAGCAACAATTTACATCCTCTCAAAGTGAAAGGCATTATATAAATATAAATTGTTGTCGATATAGTTACTGTAATAATTGGTAGTTTCTCTGTTCTAACAATACTATAGCGGTTAATTTCAACTCAAGATGAATAAGGGGGAAGAATGGGAAAGTCCTAAACTGGTAGCAGTCAATAGTACTTGTGGGATGAGTGGAGATATATGGAGAGTAGCAGATATATGCAATCTAAAGCTAACTAGCTAAAACATTGTTCAGATGAGAATTGTATTGAAGTGTTTTATAGCATGACACTATTGAGGAAACTCAGAGTCTGTTTAATTTCTGGACCGTTTGCTCTGGATGGCTCTATCTGGTCAGGATTCAGAAATGATGATGCCTTCCAACGCAAGTACATTTTATTTTACAAAAGCACCATTATGATATGATATTTAAATAGTAGAATAGGGCAAACAGGAGACAAATCTAACAAACAGGGTGATTCAACTCCTCTTTGCCACTATAACATTTATACTATGCAGAATAATCTGATGCATTTGGTTTTGTTTTGAATTCTCTGAATACAGAACTCCTACCAGTATAGATGCCTGGTGGGTTTCATAATTGAACTTGTGGCAGAGAGCTTTCTTGGCTGTTGCTACCTCTTGTTGTTCTGGCCACTCTTTGAGGATTTTGCTTACAAAGCCCAGCTTCAACCTCTGTACATTATTCCAAAGTGAAGTTGAAAATCGATGGATTTGGTGGTGGCGGAAGGGGAGGATTCCTCTGCTAGTTCAGGTGATGACTGGATTGGGTGGTCTGGTAGTGAACCAGGGAGGTCCAGGTTTAAATACTGAAATGCATTATGTTAGCAGTTGTCAGCCAGTATCAAAATAGCAGCTTCAGGAGAGGAGAGGAAAATTAAACATACTCCCAACTCCTTACTTCAATCCAGAGACTCCTGCAGAAAGTGCATCTGTGTAAAGTGGCTTAGGACAAAGTAATGTCAACTGTTATCTTCCGCAACTCAAGATCAAACAAACTCGGCTTCCTCGGCAGTTCAGCTGTGCATTTCAACGAAGAAGACATTCAAGTTCCACCTTTTTGTTTATGTTTACCACTGATAGCAGAGTGATTAATTGAGTGAATTAAACAATTCCTTAAATGATTCATAATTTGACCCCGATTAGCACTTGTCAATCTCGATCAATTATGGATTGTATTGCTGGCATGCAGAAAGGAGGAGGGGAGGGGGGGGTGAAATCTGTTTTACGTGAGATAAAATTGTGAGAGCACAATATTTGCCCAAGTGTTACATCTGACCTGGGAAACCCAGAACATAATGTTTGTCAAAGAGTGTGTTTGGTCTTCCTCCACCACTAGCCAGAATCAAACCCGATTTTCCTGAGCATTTTGTGACTAAATAACCCAGTGTACACACAAATCAGTGAATAATTAAGCATTTCCAATGCTCTTTAAATCCTTTATCATTTTTGAAAAAGTGTTGTTGAAAGTTGCATAAGAAATGTTGCCGTTAGTAGTGAGGGCATGTTCTGCTCAAACAAAAACAATTGATAGATTTATAAATATAAAGGAATAAAAAGAAATATTGAAACTGGCAACCAGAGTGTGATTTGTGTGTAAATGCGTTGGTCGTAAATTATCTGAAAATGAAAAACTGGTTTTCTGTTTACAAACAGATTACTGTAGCATAAATTACATTGAAATTGCATATTACTGTGTCACTCACAGGCCAGGTCATCCTTTTGAAAATGATGCATTGCATTTCTCCCTGTACAAGCAATTGATTTGGCAAAATGAAAATAGTGCCTTTATATAGATCTAAAAATTCATTCAATCCAGAGAAGCTGCAGAGCAAACTCGCTCAATATTGTTCAGCTGTGCATTTCAATGAAGAGACATTCCAGCTCCACCTTTTTTGTTTATGTTTACCACACAGGTCAGAGCACTGGGGCACAGGTATTCAATATCTGATTGAAAATCGTTACACATTAGTAGTACTTGAAGGAAGATCTCCTGTGAAGCAACACCACTTTCTGCATTTATTTGATGGAAGGATTTTCAGGAGTTCTGGCCAAAAAGCGCTGTATTTACAGTTAATTTTGCCAGTTGAAATTTGTCTATCAGTTAATTCATTTAATAATAATAAGCAATAACCCTTGCATCTGATATAGCACCTTTCACATCAAGAAGACATCTCACAAGTCTTCACAGGATTTACAGTAAAATGTATTGACTTTGTATTTTGTAGACAAACAAGGCAATTTTTTTTGACAAACGGCCAAGAAGTGAATAACCAGTGTAATCAGCTAGAATGGCAATGGATAGCTTCAGGTATAGATTAATAGATATTCAATGAAGAACTATTGAAGAAATATTTCCATGACCTATAGTTTGTAGATTGTTGGTGAATTCAGTTGTAAACTTGGTGTTACAGCTGTGAGACACTACTTCATGAGTACATAGAATTGCATAGGATGAAACACCAATAAAGAGGCTAGTCAGCCCAACATGTGTTTATACTTCACTCAAACCTCCATCCCCAATTTCATATAGCACTGTCTGACAAACAGCCATGAAGTGAATGACAAAATGTATCTGTTCACCAAGTCACCAAGAGAAATTCCCTTCTCTTTTCTAATAGTGCAGTGGAATTTTCAATGTCAATCTGAACAGGCATGCAGAATCTTAGTTTAAAGTCTCACCCAAAGGATGGTACCTGTGGCAATCTAGCATATGCCCGGTACTGTATTGGAGTGTCAGCCTTGAGTGTGAATTCAAAGTCCTGTCATAAGGCTTGAATCCACTTCTGATTCAGCGATGAGAGTGCTATCAATCGAGCCATGTTGACACATTTACCATTCATTGACATAAAACATTCTTCATATGTTTTTGAGTAGAATTTATATGTTATTTCTCTCCTCACTGCCAGGAGACTATTGGGAACAGCAGTTTGTAATTCTGCCCTTTTTGTAAGATCTCTTTTCATGTTGAGCACTTCAATTCAGCCTGAATAGAGTATTTGTCCCATTGAGGATGAGGTTCCAGGTTGTAAGCCCAATTGCAGTGAGTCTCGTGTTTCAATAGCAACTGAAGTAAGGTCAGTTTGTGCCTACTATTATCTCTGTCATTGGTAGAAATAAATGTGGAGATGAAAATCTGTTTGGAGTGTTCCTGACTGTACTTCCCCTTTCCCATAGTCTCAGTAGTACCTTCCTGCTAGTGAATATAATAATAATAATTATATGAGAGAACAACAACAACAAAATTACATTTGTATAGCGCCTTTCACGTCGGAAGCACGTCCTAAAGCGCTGGACAGACAGAGTTATGGACCCGAGATGGGGTTCGGGGAGGGTGGAGGCCAGGGGGGGAAGCAGGGAGATCGAAAGCACAGACGAAAAGGAAGGTCTTGAGATGGGTCTTGAAGGTGGCAAGGGAGGGGGCGAGGGCCGCCCGCCAATAATGGGGCCAGCAAGGCGGGGGACGTGAATCAGACCGGAGCCCGCTGAGAGGAGTGAGCGAACAGGATGGTGGGGGTTAGGATGTCGCAGAGATAGGGGGGAGCAAGACCGTGAAGGGCTTTGAAGGTGAAGACCAAGATCTTGAACTGTATCTTCTGTGTGATGGGAAGCCAGTGGAGTTGGGCGAAGATGGGGGTGATAGGGTCGCGGAGTCTAGTGCGGGAGAGGACAGGCTGCAGAGTTTTGAATGATCTGCAGCCTGTGGTGGGATTATCAGTGGGTAGCCCAGAATTAATGTCGGAAATAATTTTACCACCGATAGTTAAATTATTATTCTCAATAGACTAGACTACAGTGCAAATTAAGTATACATTAAATACATTATTTAAGTAGGTTCTTCTGTATCTAATCAAGGTGAAACATGTAAGATCATGTTTTAAAACAAAAACACAGCTTGCATATATGTGACCCTCATTTAGTGGTTGCACGTATATAAAATTAAAAATTACTTACAGAGAATCAAGCTGTGAGCATTACCTCATGGCTGCAAATGTTTACTACAACAGCGAATCCTACATCTGCCACAAGGAAGAATTTGCATGTAAATAATATTTTATAGTAACGCTTACAAAACAAAAAATTGGAATCTGTATTTATGAGGATGAGATGGATGAACTGTAGCCCAGGGTACAGAAGGAGACAAGGAAGTAGATTTGTGCAGGCATTATGAGTGAGTCAAATAGGGCTGGGGAGGTTCCAACTGACCAGAACCAAGCAGATATTATTCACATATTCAAGAATGGTAACAAAATTAAACCTGGTAACTGTAATAGGAAAAATTATGGAGTCAATCATCAGAAGTGGAAGATTACCTATAAACACCATTTAATAATTGACAGTTAACACAGTTCAGAACGGGTTGATCTTGTCTGTTCGATCTCATTGACTGTGGGAAGCCGCATAATAACGTAATATATCTGGACTCCCGGTCTTCTGTGGAGTACCACAGGACTCCATCCTTGGTCGCCTCAACTTCCTCGTCTACATGCTCTCTCTTGGCGATGTCAATTGATAAATATAAATATACCATGAAAACACAGTGTTTTATGAATGATCTTGCAGTTAATGTAAATGAGTGAAACATTTTAGATTTTGAACTGTTGCTGACATGGAAGATTCAAAGCGCAAACTTTATTTTCTTTTGCAGGCGGGAGAAAAACATTATCACCCAGATTGTGCACGATGTGCCAGATGCGAGGAGATGTTTGCAGAAGGGGAAGAGATGTATCTGCAAGGTACAAAAAATACCCAACAAAAGTCTTTGTAAAATGATCTTAGATTCTTATTGTACTGTCTAGGTTTGCATTCAGTCAACTTTGGAAGAAATTCAACAAGTTTCTTGCTTTGTGCTGCTCTGCATTATGTGTAGTTGCAAAGCGCTGGACAGTCACAAATTTGGATCCGAGCATGGGATTGGGATCAGGAGGGGTGGAGGGCAGGGAGAGGAGCGGTTGAAAGGTGACCGAAGGTGTGATTGAAGAGGAGGATCTTGAGACATGTCTTGAGCGAGGCAAGGGAGGGAGCGAGGCAAAGGGACTGCGGAATGGAGTTTCAAAGAGTGGGGGCAGAGAGGCTGAAGGCCCGATCACCGATGGTGGGGCGGGCCAGGTGGGAGACATGGAGAAGGCTGGAGCTTGCTGAGCAGAGGGAACATACACGTCAATATCGTGTTAGCAGGTCACAGAGGTAGGAAATGATCTGCAGCTTGTGGAGGGTAGAGGTGGGGAGGCCGACAAGCAGAGGATTGGCGTAGTCAAGCCTTGATGTAACAAACTTAACTTGTCAGATGTGTTTAAATCCCAGCAGTATTGCAAACTGGGCAAGCCTTGGCTCTTGACAACCTGCACCTAATAGTCTCAATAAATAGTGAAGTAGGGTTTGTCCCTCCAGGGAAAGAGTGCGCATTTCATTCCAGAAACAGAAATTACCACGTGTGGGAGGCAATACATAGGTGAAACCTTCTGTTTTGAAAAGTCTGAAGCATGATGATGGGTTTGTGTATATGTCAGATAGCCGGGCGATCAAAATGGATAAAACTTTTAGCAATCAGTGTTTTGATCCAGAAGACTCTGAATACACTGATTTACCATTTCATGAGAAAACTGTCACAAAACAAACAAGGTTTTCCATTTTGGCTGATATTCAATGTCATTTCATGGGCTTTTCCAAATTTAAAGATATCAATTTCCGATACCATTAGCTATCTGTTTTCCCCTTTTGTGTTCTTCTCACAAGTCCAATTTAAAAAATTGAAAACTCTCACAAGTATAACCTACATTATACACTTCACTGATTAATCAGCCTTGTCCTAGTGATCAGAAACTCGAGATTTCATGGTATTGAGCAATTTCATTAGGTTTATTCTAAAGAATGTACCGGAGTGAGCAGGTTTGCTGAACCCCAGTGACGTTGATTTAAAAAATTATCTGAAAATGAGCTATTTTTATCCAAGAGCATTTTTTAACACATGCGTAATGTAAGACATGATCTAAGCAGTATTGATGTTTGGTGGAGTGAGTCATTTTCATTTTCATTGTATTACATTTCCGAACAAGGAAATAACATATTAAAAGCAAAGTATTGATCCACGGTATAAATTATTTATATTATTCATGATCAGCATGCTAAATGCTGGCAATAACTTCCCTTAAAAATATTTTTAAGGAGTATTTTATTTAGCAATTAATACCTTAGCGCATTGTCATTAGCAGACAAATTTTATTTTTGTTGTAATAGAAACTTCTACTACAGGCGCTAAGTCCTCATTCCAAAAATGCCCTGGGTTTAATTCCCATGACTGCCTGTAAATTTATTCTGGTCATTCAGTTCCAAATGAAGGTGATTTATGTACAGTCCAGACTCATTAGAATACACACGTGTTTATTGTGTATTATTCGTTAAAGCATGTTTGAAATGTGAATCCATTTGCTGTGCATGCTCACATTAGGTCGTTCTCTACATCGAAGTAAGTTGAGCCCTGGAGCACCTTGCAACCGTTTCACAACAAGCTTTCTCTAAACCCCAATGCTACCATTACAACCGGTTCTCAGCTAATTCATTCATTAAATGATCCTTTGCAATCAAAGGAAGACAACCACGTAAGACAAGTGTAATTAATCGAAGTAGGAAAAACGAAATGCTGTAAATTTGAAACACAAACACAGAAAATGATAAAAGTGTTCAGCATTTGAAACAGAAGCAGATAATCATAAAATAATAATAATAATCCTTGCATTTCATATAGGCCCTTATCACATCATTGAGGAGTCTCAATGCGCTTCACAGGATATACTGTAATGTGAATCCACTGTGTATTTTGTGGGTGCTTTGGAGCTGTCTCCCTAAATGTTAATCTGGCGTTCTGTGGTTTGTTGTGCATTTTCCACATATTCAGGTTTTAGAATAAAATGAACCTTTTTTAAAAAAAGTTGATAATTTCTCTGTTTTCTGCTTTTATGATTCCTTTTTTTCAAACTTTTATTTGCTGTAGGTACTTCTATCTGGCATCCAATCTGTAAACAGGCTGCCAGGGCAGAGGAAAAACAAAAGGTAAGGTGAAATGTTATTCACGTTTATCACTGTTGGCATCATTGAACGATGTAGGGTAAAATGAAAGCATCATTATTTTAAAACTCGTCATGACTATCCAAAAATTGTCCCACAAAGCAGCATTGTCCTCACAAAACAATGAGTGAACAATTTTATTTGGGGGATTTATTTGCTAGGACACTGGGAGAAACTCCTTTCTCTTTTCAAATAGTGCCATGGGATCTTTAATGTCCACCTGAAGACGCAGATAGGACATCGGTTTAACATTTCATCCAAAGGGCAGCACCTCTAAAAATGTAACACACCCCCAGCACTGCATCAGAGTGTCAATTTAGAATATGTCCGATGTGGGACTTGAACCCACAACCTTTTGATTCAGAGGCGAGAGTGCTACCACTGAACTAGGCTGACACACAATGTAAGGAGAATTAAAAGGGTGTCATGGTGTTGTCAGAGTGTAACTGATTCATTAGTAAAGTATTCAGTATCTTCTGGGAGCATAAAAGACCATCACTTGAGATGGGCATGATGGTGGAGTAGATTAGAGACCCAAGAAACTAAAGGAATTCTCACGGTAAGCATGCACATTTGTATCCTTTTTACAGTCATTGAACACATAACCACTTTTTTTTGATAACAGTAAAATGTTAAGGATTGTATGCACGTTTCACGTATTTAAAGACATAGATAGCTACAGGGTCTAAGTTCTGTATCTAAATTGTAATTATTGTTTTTGTTTCCCAGATCACTCGCACTTCCTCTGAAAGCATTACATCTGCTCCAGCCTCAAGTACTTCAGGATCTCCGAGTCGTATCATTTATGTAAGTTATTCAGTTGTTTTGTGCCTGACAGTTATGCCAACATGAATATTTGCCCAAACTACTTTCTGAGCATTTTCATAGATTATTCTTAGAAAAAAAATGCCTTATCAAATGTGCTGAATGTTTCTTCTTCAAGAATGCAGAACAGCCAAGTGAGCTAGAATGTTGAAATCCCATCAAAGAGATTTCAGTTTGCAGCAAATCTTGACTGGTTTACTCACTTTAGGTAATTGACTGACCAGTGAGTCAAACATAAGCAGCTGTGAAGGAACAGGAATTTTCAAGGTGACCCATTTCCCACCTGTTCTCCTGGCTCAGAAAAATAGTGTGGATTAGAACATTGACTCAGGATTAGGAAGGGAGAGTTTGTGTGTGTGGTGGGGAGAGTTTTTCGGTGTGCAAGACAGTGATCAATGGAACAGGAGAAATCTGACCTATTTTGAATTACTTGATTTCTCAAACAAGTGCTGCGGTGCTATGGATCGTCTATATCCCAATTTCCCTGGAAGACTCCTATAGTTGTGAAATAGTCTATCTACTTTTGTTCCTCCGCTCTGTTTATTCTCTGCTCATTATCTCTTGCATCCTTCTTTTCTTTTCCTCTCTTAGGCCAAGCTAGATGATGAGATTCTTGACTACAAGGATTTGGCTGCTCTTCCCAAAGTTAAGGCCATTTACAATATAGATCGTCCTGACATGATCTCCTATTCACCGTATATCAATTACTCAACTATTGAAAGGCATAGAATGGGGGAGGTACTGAAAAACTAAGCAATCCTCAGAAATTGTTACATTTAAATGTTGTTTAAGGGGAAGGATCTGGATTTTTTGCCCTGGAAGGTAAGAAACCATCTATTTAAAGGAAATATTTTAACTCGATATTAATGCCTACAAACACATGATTTTTCATCTATGTTAACGCTCAGGCTTGTAATTTGCTCTGAAGGGGGTGAAACAAATAGCTGTGATGAGTCAGCAGAAAATAAAACGTTCCCTTAGTGTTTTTTAAATGTCAATGAAGATAATGTCTGCACTTACCTCCTTCAATGATGTTATGGATATAGCTGCAGGTTTAAATCCTGTTCCTGTTGAGTTTCCAGGTCTCATTCGGGACTGCATGTGGAAGCTAAATTGGCCCTCGGATTCCCAGTGTTTGGGAGGATAAAACCAGCCAGAGTTCCTGGTCCTAATCGCCTCCAGCACTTCTGGCACCCTCGACATGGTAGTCCATGGCATTCACGGTGGGGAGAGGTCAGGCTCAGTGTGATGCCCTGTACAGTTGGGTGGGCTACCAACATTGCTAAGATTCATGCAACCAGTGCAAATGAAACCACATCCCATCATGTGGAGGCGGGAGACCAGAAGCAGAGGCACATACTAATGAAGCGATGATATACTAAATCTAGATATACTAAAGCTAGATGCACATACTAAATTTAAAATGGTCTCTGCCAGCCATCTATCTTCAGTGGCCCATGACCTAAGAACAAGACAAAATGGAATTTGGGGAAAGGGGAACACCGTAGTAATCGTTTGGGTAACCTGATGTCAACCTAGTTTGGACAGTGGTCCACAGCACAGCAATTTGTGGTCCGAGCACCAGTCAAACTCTGCCGCATTTTCCATTTGAATATTTTGATTTGAAGGCACTCGCAAAACATGTTTCACTACATATCCAGGGAAAAATCCAGGCCGCAGAGCCCCTTTGTTCTATGCAAGTGCTATTTGCACAATAACAATTAATTTAAATGTATATTATGTATTTCCTTAATGTTTGTGCATGCATCTGCCACAAGCACAGGAACGGGTTTGATGCTTTTCCTCGTTTCAAGCACAGGCACGCGGGAGCTAAATGCCTGGACTTGAGGGAGGTAGTTGGCAGCTGAAATTCAGTAAGAATGTGTCTAGCTCTATGAGCCAGCCCTGTATTTCAATCTCATTTTTCTCATCCTTGCACAATTAGTAGTTTCTTTCATTTGGAGCATTTTGGAAATGTCAGGCTGTATGGTTGAACAGCAACACTAATACTTTGAGTTTAGTGTATTTTTTCCCCTATAAACAAATTGTGAATTTTTGGGGGGGACAAAAAAAGGAATAGGCAGCTGGCTTAGCATCTGTCCACTTCTTAACAAGCAATGCAAATACCTTTGGTGGCAGAGCTCATAATCCCATGGCGTTCAGTTCAGAATTCAGTTGCACAGGGAGAAATGTGCATTTTTGCACATGGGCACACCAGCTTGTGACTTTTGCACACAATTTTCCTGCAGGTGCAAACAAGCAGGAAAATCAGGGTCACATGCTCTTTCATGGCCTAGTTGTGCTGAGAAAATTGCCTTGATTCAAAGCAACTTTGGGAAGAAATAGTCTAACGCACCTTTTTTTGTTGATGGGGGTCAGTGTTGGGCAACTTGTTTGGCCAGATCAATATTTGTTTTTCATTTTTTCTTCATCAACATATTTGTTTGCTATTTGAGAACTAATGTTATCTAATTTGATCTATAACCAATATTGTAATGTTGCAAATGATTTGTACTCTGTCATCAAATCTGGTGGCAGGTTGTAAGAATGAGCTATATGATTTTCTTTCTGTCTTTTCCCTTGTTTCAGTCACCACGAATGCTGTCTCCAATACCAACTGAGGTAATCAGTTAATTTCTCCTTTTTGTATTTTTGTTGCTCATTAAGGTGAAGTGTATGTTTGGGCAAATTGTTTCCATTTTACCTTGGATCCCTGAGCTTACAAATCTAATCATAAACTCATACGACCAAGGTCACCTACAGGGTTAGCTAATTAATAACAGGAGTGAAACCTGCTTCATTCTCTGAATCACACTTGTGATGGAAATGGGATTCCGTTGGAACCAATATAGTAACCAAACAATAGAGACAATAACCTACATCTCGGATGGAGAACTGTATCCTGATGTATTCGCAAAACTAATAATAAACCCAAGGGTTAACAGTCCATACTCTGGTTACCATATGGGTGGGGAAAAGTTTAAAATTTGAGTGCACTTCATGGGATTTATTTCACTGATACTTTGCGCTAAAGAGTCACATTTCAAGCAGACATCAACCGAATCATACACTCAGTATAGTGCAGTACTGATGATTCAAATACGGTCCTGATATCATTCAACTTCAATTCATGTGTCAGATTTGCAACAAATTGCATTTATACAGTACCCTAAATGCTGGACAGCATCTTGGAGCGCTATATAAATGCAAGTTGTTTTTGTTGCCAAACTGACACATTACACCTTGAGGATAAGAAGTATGTTTTATTACAAGCTTATTATTGTATTCTCAGTCTTTGGCACAATTTACAAGCATTGTAAATCATTCGTATCTTCCCTTTTAATTATTGCTCAATGAAGGTTTAATCTACCTAGTGGCAAAGTATGGGGCTGTGATCCATTTTACCAGGTGTTGCTATGAAGATGACCTCATTCTAGTTCATTAATATGCTAATTATAATCAAGGTGGTATTTCTTCCATGTAAAGAATTCTGATATCTATTTGGAAAATATATTTTGTAATTGGGTTCTGATAATATTTTTACATTTTACATGTGGATACATTAGCAAAATTATAAATAAAAAGTTATAAAACAAAGTCAGGATGGAAAGTTCCTACAGTTTAGATATATATAGTTTTAATTAATATCTCTCTAACTAATGTAATTGATGACTAAGTATAAAGTAATGGTGCAATAAGTTATTGGCAAATATGATATTCCGGACTGACAGATTTAAGGCAAGTTATTTTGGTGGACCTAAGATAGGAAAAAAGTCAAACAGGTCGATTTTTGAAGAATGTTGGTTGTTTGTTGGCCAACATATGCTGGGCAGGAAAACACTTGCTAACATAGTAATGTGGTTCCTTCAACTTTGGAGGTCGGCTTGTTCATATAAAGTGCAAATGGAAAGTAGGTCTCCTTATCAATGGCTTAAATTAAATGTTCAATAAGTACACGTCACCAACACAATATAGACATATATTAATCCTATAAGGTCTCAGTGTGGAGAAGAAATTGTCAGTCAGTAAGGAGGGCTATTTCGCCCACAAAATATACAGTCAATTCACTTTACAGTATATACTGTGAAGCGCTTTGAGACGTCTTGAAGGCACGATGAGACTCTATATCAAATGTGAGGATTGTTATATTATGTTGAGATATAAGTATCACATCGGCACAATTTTCGACTGAATGATTTCAGTAGCAGAACAATTTGCATTTCTTTAGTCCAAAAGCAGAAAGGTGCCAAATACACTGGACTCATCTCCCCAAAGTTCATTCAAAGCTCTCAATTTATTTTGGTGTAACAGCCGAGATTAATTAGGCCCAAACCACTGGACAGCCTTGAAATTTTGAGCGGACTGCAGGACAAGATTGCTTTACTGCTATGAATTTATCAATTTTGTTCCCAACAGGATAACTATAGGAAAGGTTGTTCCTTTTGAGTCTTTTTTCTGGATGGGAATTGTGATAACGGTAGTTTGGAGTATTCAGAAGTTGGCTTTGCTTTTAATAGCTGCTAATGGATTAAGTATAAGTAATTGTTGGAATAAAATGTGGGAAATAAGTTTTGTAATATGTTTCAGTTGTTCTAGAATTCATCATTCCTTCAGTCAATTCATTTGTTGAATAAAAACAATAAGGATTTATTTTTTATAAAGAATATGTTTGATAAATATGTCAAAATACTGTCATTTGAATTTAAATCAATGTCTGTTATCACAGAACATAATGTAATCGAGGTTGATCTGAAGTAGCTTCATTATATGATGCACTCCGTTCTCCTTGATCTACATAAAAACAATAATAAATGGTCACTTCAATCCACAACTGTTTTTCCCACAATTATACAGTCATTTCACCCAACAGTATATTCTATGGAGCTCTTTGAAACGTCTAGAAGCATGAAAAGTGCTATATCGAATGCAAGGATTATTATTTATTTTTATACTGACATTTCTGTGGCATCAATGCATTTGAAATAGGCCTATTTCTGTAGGTAACACAGAAGTTTGTTACAAATCTAAAGGTTTAAATTAACTCATAAATTCACCTAAAATGCTTAGATAGTAAGGAAGTTCAGAAGTAGCACTCTGAAAAGTAACCAGTGAGTACAGTTTGAACATAGTTTAAGCATTTTACACAAACCCTTAAGATAGCAGATGATTCAGAAGCCTTTTTGTATTGCAGGGTGAACAGGAAGGACCCCGACAGCGCAGGGCCTCCAGTCCTGGATCCATCGGGTCTCTTGGCTATGGACGTTACACCCCAACGTGGTCCCGCTCACCCCAGCATTTCCATAGACCAGGTAATGAACACCTCTGTCACAGTATTATAAATACACAATCAAATCCAGCACTCTTCTGGGGAAGTAAGGTGCTTTACCTGGCTGAGAAGGCAACCAGGCACCCTAAATACAGGCCTCGAGCAACAGCACTGCGTAACCAGACACTAGGAGGCACAACAAAACTCTTAAGCTCTAATATTAAAGGTTCCACGCAGGGGAAATGTCTGTCCTCTAGTCATTACCTCTCCCAATCACGCAGACAGAAGTGGAACTTCTCCTGTGGGAAATCACAGGTTGAAATGCACATCCTTTCACTATTATTTTTAATTCCAAATTAATTCACTTGAACACAAAAATAATAGCAAAGTGCAGTCATCTTCAAATAGACTCAGTTCTAGTTAATAGATTGTTATATTCTGAAAGGTTATATTTGATTGGAACATGACTGACAACACTGATTTAAATTCATTGTTTCTTTAAACAGACTCACATTTCAACCTATTCTCAGCACATCATTGGGCTATATAAACTCTCCAGGGTCTATACGGACTGACTTCTAAGTTTATGTTAACTTAATTTATTTTCTTCATTTCATTTGTGAAATGGATGAAATCTGACACTGTATAATTCACACTGTGCAGATTCCAATTATTCACTGCGCTAAAGCTTTGAATGTATTAGGTCACAAAAGTGCTTCTTTTCCAGAACTTAAATTGAAGTTATACAGTTGACCAAACGGAGCTACGTCTGCCACTATCAACATCTAAAGAAGCAGACCGAGAGAGATCGTTGCTTGCATCCAATTTAGGAAACGTTTCTGCTGCTTCTTTTTACAGTACTGCCAAAGATGGGGCATAAAGTGACTCAGGTGTCACCTATCAGCCCTGCCTCTCAGTCCTGTACGTGCAAACACTAGAATTCTGCATTTTAAAAGCACAGCTTTTAGCATTATAATCTCATAGGACAAAACGTGGAGTCCTGTAGCTCAGTGGTTAGAGCACTCGCTTTGCGAGCGAGAGACCTGAGTTCAATTCCAGGCAGAGGGCGAAACCTTGGGCAAGTTTCCTTACTCCACACAGAGCCTAATAATAATCCCTTCAAAAAACAAAACAATAATAAATTGGTCATTTTCAATCTACGACTGTTTGTGGGACATTGCTGTGCGCAATTGGCTGCCGCGTTCGCCCACAAATATACAGTCAATTCACTTTACAGTGTGTTCTGTGAAGCGCTTTGGGACATCCTCCCGACGTGAAAAGCGCTATATCAAATGTAAGGATTATTATTATAATTATTAAAACAAATTAAAAAATGGACCTATTTGTGAAAAAAGCATAGTTGCAGAGTCAAAAGGTGGAGCCCAGTTTTTATTTTGCCAAATAAAAATGCAGTTGCCACACTTCACGGTAAATCCCCTGAAGCACTTTGAAACATCCCCTCTTTTTGTGAAAGGGGATATACCAAATGTAAGAATTTTTAAAATTTACCTCATGTCTGTCAACATCTCCAATTTAAATTCAGTTGTAGTATATTGTTGGGATATTATGGTGATCTGGCATATAATAATAACATTTGCATTTGATATAGAGCCTTTGAGATGTCTCAAAGCACTTCACAGAATATACTGTAAAGTGAATTGACAATACATTTTGTTTGCAAAACGTGGCAGCCAATTGCACACAACAATATATCTCTAAATACCAAATGGAGCTCATGAGGAACATGGAAATAACCCACAGACAGTTTGTCCAGGTCTGAATCTAAAATGCAGGTTTTAATGAAGGTGTGTATTATTTTTGTTTATTGACAGCAATCTGTCCTAAGAGTATCTAATCAAAAATCAGCTCTTGAGAGCTGATGAGAAGGCAAAATTAAATATCTATTATGAATAGTTTCCTCACACCCAAGGTGTATGAGAAATTGAACTTTTATCCTTTGTTATTTTCCCCTTCCCCACAAACAACCCCAGGCCACACCATGCTTCTTCTAAAGTGTTGGGTTGAGGATTGTCAGCTGTTGTTACCACTAACCGTCGAGCACTGGACAGGCATTGAATGGATCTGAGGTTGCTTTTCCTCCCACAGTAAAACAGACGGAAATGAATGGTGGGTCAACTGCACAGTTTTCATAGCTTTACAGGGGCTGGGAACAACTATAGTTTCTCATCAATGCACACTAAATATGACGTGCCGGTCTGGAGACCCCTGGAGAGGGCGAGAAATGACCAAAAACAGAAATCTTTAGAAGGTGGAACTTTCCACACCAGATCATCACTACCAAATCTACTTAAATACTTTCTTTTCTCTATAACTTTCCCCATTTGTGTTCTGTTCAGAACTCTCCTCTGCTGGTATTCATTCCCTGCATACTGGTAGTTACAGCTCCTTATCATCACCCTCCAGCCCTGCATCCACCCTCACACCTAACTATGTCCCTTATTTTAAAGGTAAGATGCACGTGTCAGCTTTGTACAGATGTGAAACTCTGCTCCTATCCAAAGGAATAGGACATTTGCATGATTGTATAATAAACTTGATGTCAGCATATTAGGGTTGATGCCCTGCTTGCTATGTGTAGGATTTTTGGTGATTTAAACCATGAGAAACGGACAATACCAAAGTCCCCAATGCGTAACGGCAAGCAGGATATCACTCGTGTTGACTGAAAAATTATTACGGAGGTTTCTGAATATCTGTTAACAAACTTTACAGCAGTAACTGAACACTGCCAAACATCAAACTGGGTGTAAGCACTGAATGGAAAGTCTGCCTTGCTGTGTGTTTTGAGCACGCTGAGTTTGGGAATTAGACTGTTTTTCTGCTTTTATTAGCATTATACCTGTTCAACACTTAATTTTCACAACATTTTTAGAAATAGGGAATAATACGTTTTAGTTAGCACTGCCGTTTAGAATTCCAATCGCCACAATAAAATTATATATTTTTTAACACATTTATTTTTAAAATCTACTCTTGTGATTATCAGCATACAGTGCACAAGGATCTGAACACTGCATCAGCTTTTCACAACTTGCAAAGCATGATTTTATAATCTCAGCATGCACCCATCACTAATAGACCAGTAAAGGTTGTGGCGTTTCATAACATATTCATTGTGTTCATTAAACGTAGCAAACTTTACTGCCTAGTGTGTGTTTTTAATATATGTAGCCATAGACAATGCAACACGTAACAGAATTCTCATTTTATATTGGGGTGCTATAGTGCGTATCTACCAGCCATAACTTGCATATAAATAAAAGAGAAAAGAAAATTTTCATGTTCTAAAAGCAACATAGTCATGATGGGAATGGGTGGGAACTGGTACATTACAGACCGTTTTCTGATGTGGGTTTCTCTGCAGAGGAAGTTATCGAGAACAAAAACAGTTTCAGAGACAGTCTTGAAAACAGTCAAGATTCAGGCAAAAGTTCCCTGATAAATGAAAAGTGTCTTCAAAATTAAGAGCCAGGGCAGAAGTGCTTCAAAAGATAAAATTAAGTGATAAAGAGGACTAAAGAAACCACTACGACCATCAAAATGGAGCTACAGATATAGTGAGATTATTCAGTCAATTCAACAAGAGATTGCATTTGCATCATGCCTTTGATGTAGGATAACATTTCAGTCACTTTGCAAAGAAATGCTGTGATGAGGATGGTCACACCTTGGAAGTTGTAACTAAGGAGAAGTAAGGATAGGATGAGCATCCACCGGGCACATCTGAAAGGATCACATGTTATAAATATTTGGGGTGGGCCCAATAAAGGGGAACCCATTGCAATTCAGAGCAGCAAGATATTGAAAGAAAAACCTGGAAGAGCCCAGAAAAATAAACAGGTGCAGTCTGCATTTAGAAGGATTATAAGATAATTTTCTCAACAGTTCAGGTCACCAGACAACAATACAACAGTTTTCTACCTTTTTTTTGTAGGTAGAAAAAAAATAAGTGTCCGGAAATACGATTGCTGTGTCACAGAAATGTAGCCCATCTCCTAATGACCTGGGATTTGTAACCCAACTTTATAAGTCAATAAATAACAACAAATTACATTTATAGAGCGCCTTTCACGTAGGGAGGACATCCCAAGGCGCTGGACAGTCAGGGGTCGGGATTCGAACATGGGGGACAGGTGGGGTACAGGTGAGGGAAGGCAGAGAGGTGGGAGGGAGACCAAAGGCACAGTCGAAGAGAAGGTCTTGTGACCGCCTTGAAGGAGGCAAGGGAGGAAGTGAGGCGAAGGGACTGTGAGATGGAGTTCCAGAGTGTGGGGGCAGAGAGGCTGAAAGCCCTTCCACCGATGGTAGGGGGGGGTCGGGCGGGAGACATGGAGCAGACCAGAGCCCGCTGAACGGAGGGAGTGGGCGGGTTGGTAGGAAGTCAGCAGGTCAGAGAGGTAGGAGGGGGCAAGGCATGGATGGCCTTGAAAGTGAGGACGAGAATCTTGAATTTGATCCTCTGGGGGATGGGGAGCCAGTGAAGTCAGGTGGGAGTGATGGGGTCACGTAGCCTGGTGCGTGAGAGTACACGAGCTGCAGAGTTTTAGATGAGTTTCCGTAATCGAGCTTGATGTGACGAATGCGTGGGTGAGAGTTTCGGCAGCCTGAGGGGTGAGGCACTGGCGGAGTCTGGCGAGTCTGGCAGTGTTGTGGAGGTGGGTAGGCAGTGCCGGTCATGGCATGGATGTGGGGAAGAAAGGACAGTTCAGGGTCAAGGAGGCAGAGGGAGCCCTGGTCGCACATGGTCAGGATGTTGTTTGTGACCTTGACCAGAGCAGTTTACGTGCAGCACGGAAACCCGATTGGAGGGGCTCATAGAGGGAGTGGGAGGAGAGGAAAGAGCGAAGCTGGGAGGCAACGGCTCTCTCAAGGACCTTAGACAGAAAAGGGAGGTGGGAAATGGGCCGATAGCTGGATAGCTGTGATGGGTCAAGGGAAGGTTTCTTCAAGGTGGGGGAGATAGTGGCTGTTTTGAGGGGGGTAGGAACAGTGCCAGGTGACAGGGAGAGGTTGATGATGTTGGCGAGTAGTGGGGTAAGGAGGTGGAGTGGGATTTAAGGAGAGGGGTGGGGATGAGGTCCAGGGAGCAGGTGATGAATTTCATGGAGAATATGGTGGTGATGATAGAGGAGGGGGTGACAAGTTCAAAGGTGTGGAAGGAAGGATGGGGAGTGATCGATGTGAGGGGGGTTAGGGAAGTGGTGGAAGTTGGGAGGGCAGTGGCAGCTGAGTGGATTCCCTCGATTTTGGACTTCAGGATGTTCAGCATTTTCTCGCAGTGGGAGTCGGAGAAAAGAATCTGCGAGGCATAGCAGGGAGGGCGGAGGAGCCGATTGGTGGTGGAGAACAGGAGCCTGGGGTTGCCCTTCACCTCCAGGATTAACCTGAAATAGAAGGATGATTTGGCCGAGGTGAGAGGGGAGCAGTAGGTTTTGATGAGGTCCAGCCAGATGTGCCGGTGAACCGTTAGGTGAACTCCAGGTCTACTGATGTCCTGACCGACTGTCTGTGCGACATCAAGTCCTGGACAAGGGTCAGCTATCTCCAACTCAACGTCAGCAAGACTGAGGCCCTCCTGATTGGCTCGCGCCAGCGCCTCCGCACCTCAGGCGCTGGCAGCATCAGCCTCCACGGCTGCACACTCAACCTCACTAAGCCAGTCAGGAACCTGGGTATCTTGTTTGACCCTGAACTGTCCTTTCTCCCCCACATCTGCGCCATGACGGGCACTGCCTTCCACCACCTCCTCAATATTGCCTGACTCCGCCATTGCCTCACCCCTCAGGCTGCCCAAACCCTCACCCACACATTTGTCACATCAAGGCTCAGTTACGGGAATTCCCTCCTCATCGGCATTCCCAACTCTTCCCTTCACAAACTGCAGATCATCCAAACCTCTGCAGCTCGTGTACTCTCACGCACCAGGCTCCGTGTCACCATCACTCCCACCCTCGCCCGACTCCACGGGCTCCCCATCCCCCAGAGGATCGAGTTCAAGATCCTCGTTCTCACCTTTAAGGCCATCCATGGCCTTGCCCTCTCCAACCTCTCTGACCTGCTGACTCCCTACCAACCTGCCCACTCCCTCCGTTCTTCGGGCTCCGGCCTGCTCCATGTCTCCCGCCCGACCCACCCTACCATCAGAGGCCGGGCTTTCAGCCTCTCTGCCCCCACACTCTGGAACTCCATTCCACGGTCCCTTCACATCGCTTCTTCCCTTGCCTCCTTCAAGATCGGTCTCAAGACCTTTCTCTTCAACTGTGCCTTTGGTCTCCCTCCCACCTCTCTGCCTTCCTTCACCCCTACACCACTCCTCCCCCATGCTCGGGCCCCAACACCTGACTGCTCAGTGCTTTGGGACGTCATCCTGTCCTGAAACGCGCTCTATAAATGTAATTTTGTTGTTGTTGTTGTTTGGCCGGATTTGAGCCAAGTGCGTTCAGCAGCCCACACCTGGCCCTTGAGCGAGCGGAGGTGGCTGGTGAACCAGGGTGAGGATCGGGAATAGGAGGCAGTTCAGGAGGTGTGGGGGGCAAGGGCATCGAGTGTGGTGGAGAGGGTGCTGTGGAGAAGAGTAAGCGCAGAGAATGGGTTGATGCGAGAGGTGGGCGAGAGGGGGAGGAGTTCAGACAACTCCAGGGCAATGGAGAGGGATTGCAGGGAGATCTTCTTCCACGGGTGGTAGAAGATGGTGGTAGGTTTGGAAGCAGTGGGGAGAGGGATATGGGAGTTGAGGGTGATGAAATGGTGGTCAGAGATGGCCTTGTCAGCGATGGTGACATCTGAGACGCTGAGGCCCCAGGTGATCACCAGGTCGAGCGGGTGACTGTGAGTGTGGGTAGCAGAGTGGATGTGGAGGGAGTGGTTGAGAGAAGAGAGGAGAGAGGAGAAGTCTGAGAAGGTGGAACAAGAGTGGGTGAAGTGGAGGTTGAAGTCACCCAGAATGATGAGGCAGTCAGAGCAGAGGCAGAGGGAAGCAAGGAGGGTGGAGATGTCAGAGATGAAGGTGGGCGAGGATTTTGGGGGGCGGTAGATTAGGAGAATTTTTAGAGAGAGGTGGGAGGGATGGTAGAGGGTTAGGTGTTCAAAAGAGGAGAATGAGCAAATGGAGTAGAGGGATAGGGTAAATGACGCCTTGGATATGAGGGCCACCCCACCGCCACGGCGGTTAGGGTGTGGGGCATGGTGGTAGGTGTAGCCAGGTGGTTGGTGCCTCAGTGAGGGAGAAGGTGTCACCTGGGGAGAGCAGGGGAGTTGCAGGGAGAGGGGGCATTTTGAGGAAGGGCCAGCTCGAGTCAGGGGCGGCAGCCAAGATGCGCACGCTAAGATGAGAGGCGGTGGATTAGTGGACATTGCCAGCCTGCAGGAGGCTGTGGGGGCTAGAGGTGGCACAGATTGGATAAAAGATGATTGTAGAGTCCTGCAGAAGCCGTTTGTCAGTTATAGA